CAACGTCCGCAAACAAGACAAATCAACCATCAAAATAAATGTTTCTCAGACCAAATACGAGCTCCCCCTTGTCGGGGAATCCCCAAAAATGATGTGCCCTGGCCTAGCTACAACAAAAGCGCTACTTGTCTGCGCTTTCTCACTCCTGATTGTTCTCTGTCGCTCAGTGTGTGCTTCGGTGTGGGACCTTGCTGAGGCAGATGCTGCACATTCAGCAAGGTCCCACAGAGCAGAACGAGGGCAGAGTAGAAAGACTTGGGTACGATTGCCCTATAGCCCCGTTCCTCTGCACTTTCGAGTGAAGAAAGTGGCACGTTACTGCAGCTGCGGACCCACTCGGCGGCGAGACCGTTCTCTAAGATGAGTGTACAGTTTGTCCGAACAAGAATTATACAGCAGTTTAGTACTATTTAGTCTCGAGACTTACCTCCCATTTCAGGTAGCACGAACTCAAGAAGAATCTGTAAGTCACAGCTTCGTTATATCCGTTTTTGATCAATCTACTTTTTCACAATCTCCTGAAAAGTATTGTTAATATCTAGCGTCCCCAAACGCCAGGCCAACAAATGAGTGGAATGGGTACAGCACGCGAAATGGAGGAGCCAACAGACGATGCCTACAAGTAAGTAGAATGATGTTGAGAGCAGACTCTCTTCTTAAGACCAACTGTTTCGAGACCGCAGCGCGACTGCGCGCGTCACTAAGCTACAGGTCTCATGCAGAGTGCGGTTTTTCAGGTGCCGTGATTATACGCCGGCCGTATTCAACGATTTGCAGCAGCTTTTTGATCTGTTGAAACGTCCATAGTCCCGAATGATCAATAAGTTTGACGCGATAGACCTATAAATGTTGAACGATACTTCCAATAAACGTTGTATAACTGGTGCCCCAAAGAAAATACAGGGAAAAAATCAATAAATGTATTTATTTCGATAAATCATAATATACATCTGAGTATGAGCACATGTAATTTTTTAAAGAGTGACGTCGACAGATGAAAGTCGTAGAATTACCCGAACGCAGTCGAAATTCTCGTCAAAAGCGTATAAGGAAATCAATAAATCGATTTTCTACAGAATAACATTCTGGGAATAAACGTTCAGGTGGGGAGAATGGGTGTCACAGAAAATGTGCACGAGTTAGGGCGTATTAAAGCAATTGTGCACGGCTTTTGGAAGCACGTGCTCACATCTCGCTACCCACTAACAAACTTCATTCGAATTATCGACTGGAAGGTAGGGTCAAAAAAGGGCACATTACTGACCACGGGTTTATAAAGGGCAGTACTCGAACCACCGACCTTTTGGAAAATCGGTAATCTGAGCAGCAATCAATGAAGTGACAACAGTTTGAGAAAATGAGATCAGCCTAGTTATTATAACAACCAACCTCCAAGTATGTTAACACTTAGCACCCCTACATGGAAAAGGCGTGCACTGCGCGTGCGGACGCGCCGCGGACGCGTAGCGTCTGCCGCAACGCGACCATACGTGCAGAGCGCATCGGCCTAACCCGCGTTAGGCAACGCAAGGCTATAACAAGCACTGCTATATACACTTATCACTTATTATACAGAAATATACAAGATATGAGAAGATTAATAAATTATATGTAGTCAATTAGTCCATCCCTTTTCCGCAGGGAAACGGGAGCGCACCGTACGACATAGTCGATTATCATAACCATCTATCATAAACAGCTGTTATGATCATAAAGCGATCAGGTTAGCAGAACTGCATACACAACTTGTTGCCGAGATGATCAGAATCGACCCATTCAAAGAAAGGGCGTAGTTTCAATGAAGACGGAGCTTTACCCCGACCACCGATGATGGATAGTCGGAAAACCTGCAGTTGTTCCGGTGCAAAGATCAGTGTCGCCGGGATATGGTAGACAGCCAGACGACGCATCCGCCGTAATTGCGGAACAGTGCAGCGGAATGTGATCTGAAATGAAAGTGATTTGACTTAAAATACCTCCAGCTACAATACCACAATAGCTTTAGTTCATCTCTTTAGAGAACTCATTTTGCAAAATGATCCGGACAATGGCGTACCAGGCGTAAACGGTTTTGCCTTTTGTTCTAATTTGAATCTACGCAACCTTTAGAGAGCGAACACTTCGCACCCTCAAGTCGAGTTCTTACTTCGCGAGACTCCAGCGAATCAGTCGCGCGACTGGTTCCACCACTAATCGTCGAACCACTGCAATGGCCCGAAGAAGTTCAGTCCTGGTTACGAGTGTGACTTGAAGGAGAGCACGATAATTTGGTGCTTGCACAAAATAGTAGCAGCGGTGCGACGCAATTAGAAAGCGACGAAATAGCGAAGTGAAACGGTCAGAAAC